GAGTCTCTAGTGAGCTGCTTATCACCTCTGAATAAATACGTCCTTCTTAAATCGGAAATTCCACAACTATTGGATCACTTGCCTGAGAAGATTTATTATCAACGTTCATGTTCCACTGATAGTTACTGTTAAGCCGTATGTTTTAGCTGTATAAACAAAGTTCAGAGATAAAATACATGGCTAGAAAAAATACGGACCTGCTATATGGAAAATAAAACATGGCAAAACTGAATAAAAACTATTTGGCAAATTTCAGATCTTTATGCACTTTAAAATGTTGTTGAAACGTAAATAGTTATGTATATAGTATTATGTCCCATACTTTCAGCCGAATTGTTTGAAATGATTAACAAAACATTCATAGACTCATTCATAAATACACTTTGTTTGTTTGTTAGTTAAGCACAAAGTTGCACAATGGGATGTTAGTGCCCTGCCCACCGTGGGTATCGAAAACCGGTTCAAGCGTTGTTAGTCCGCAGACATCACGCTGTGCCACTAAGGGGCTAAATGCGCTTTGTTGAGTTATTGAAGAAATACAAATACTGCAATATAATAATTTATATGAAAGATCTTAAATTTGAAATTATATTTTACTTAAATATCATTTCAGCTGATTTTTACAAATATAACAATACAATTACAAAAACCTAACTTCTACAGAGACCTTATACCAGTAGTTCACAACGAATAGCCCTGGAACTGACCTACCAAGACTCTGAAAAATTTTAATTGAATACTTAAAGTAGCGTGCATTACTCATAAACTTTTAAATGATGTAATCAGATAAAAATAAACTTACAATTAGGATTGAATAGTTGTATACTGATATGTAAACAATTTGAGAGGTCACTTAATTCTGTACAACTTTCATACAACATGGAGTTAAAGAATTATTCTACTGTGTTCGTATCTCCTGTGCTTACTCTTCGTAACGACGAAGACTGTTTGTGATGGAACTGCAGAGTTATTCCACAGCGGGATAATTTAATTAAGTGAAAAATATTGCTATAGTTAACTCTTCACAGCCCTTCCTCCGGCATTCCGACAGTAAGCAGAATACACTTGAAGCATAAAAAGATGAATCACCCAAGCTTTATCTCTGCTTGCTTATAGTACGTTTCCTACGACTAATCACTTTAACTATTTTTTGTCCCTTCCTAAAGGACCTGCAGTGGTCAGTAACAGGCCTGCTGGGTTTTGCTGTTTAGAATCACTGCTTTAGGTATTGGGCGAAAGGCCTCGTCGGCACTGAATATAGAAGATATATAGTGTGGTTGACATATTATTAGACACTATTCTCTACTTTCAAACAGAAATTATCATTAATAATGACTAATGCACTCTTCTCTCGGGGACTGGCATGACCTGATAGTTAAAGCGCTCGATTCGCAATTTGAGTATTGCAGGTTCGAATCCCCATCACCGAACATGCTCGCCGTTTCAGCCATGGGAGCGTTATAATGTGACGGTCAATCCCCTTATTCGTTGGTAAAAGAATAGCCCAAGAGTTGCCGGTGTGTGGTATTGACCAGCTGCCTTCCCTCTAGTCTATCACTGCAAAATTAGGGACGGCTAGCGCAGATACTCCTTGTGTAACTTTGGGCGAAATTAAAAACAAACCAAACCTCCACTCTCATCGATATTGTGCGGCACAACGGGTTAAAATTTCAAATGCCCCAAATGAAACTACCGTGAGATATTAAATTATGGCTTTCCAACTTCCTAGATAACTGAAAAGCAAGGATAAGTCTATTGGGCACCTTCTCCGATTATTTTACTCAAGAAGCAGGTGTCCCGCAAGAAGGTGTAGTTAGCCCTATCTTATTCATCATGCATGTGAGCGAAATGCTTCTGTTCGATCCAAATTCGTGCTTCTGTTCCTCAGTTTGCCGATGATGTGGCTACATGGAAGAGTTTCCAAACTTCAACCATTGCCGCGACAAATCTACAACTGCGACAAAACGAAATAGAAAACTATTGTAACATTTGGATAATCAAAATAAATGCTCCAAACAAAATTTATATTATTTACATGATCGATCAAAAAGAGTAGATAGACAGCTCCCAACATTATACCTCCACGGATCATTTCTTCATGTAGCCACATCATCAGAATTACTGGGTTTAATGTTTCAAAACTAAGTTGGATCAAACACATAAATGCAATCACAAATAAAATATAGCAAACGGTTAGTTATGTACGACGTCTGACTGGCAACAGCAGGGGCACAACAACTGAATATATACTAAAAATATATAAAACCTCTATATTTCTAGTGGCAGAATATGCCTGCTTTGCATGGTTAATTAAATGTAACTAAAACACAAATAAATAAACTACAGAAAACACAAAACTCAATAATCACAAAAGCATACAGAGTTCCCAGAACCACAAACATAACATATCTACACACCTACACAAACAGCCCATGTTATCAGACAGACTTCTTAATACATCAATAGATTATTTCGAGAAAAATCTGAAAAAAATCCACACTGAAAATTTTACACGATGAACATAGACCTTGGTACTTCTCCACACTAAATCTAGTAAACTCGTTATGTAACCTACGGACACCTACTACTGGACAAACCGGTAGCCATATATAGTGATAGTTTGATTTTAAAAGGGTATTTATGTGAAAGTAAAATTAGTACTGTATATTATATCGGCAACTATGGAACTGTTTGTGAGAAAAAAAAATACGTGTTCATAACGAACGATGAAAAGCGATATATTTGTTAGTAACAATCTATGTTTTATACCCAAGGGCCACTTGCGTGTGCAACCATCTACGAACAGTCGTAGGCTGCATGTTATAAAAATATATTTTCCTAGCTATCGAATATAGTAGTAAAATGCGCAGGTTTTATCGAAAAGAAACAAGTGATCAAACAACAGCCAAGGAGGAAGGTAGAGGTCCAGTGTGTACCTGATCCTCTCGGGTCTCTTGACCAAACAACAACCGGAGAGAAACATTCTCTCATCGACGCTATGGTTACTTGACTCGCTCCTGGATCAACAACGCCAGACATTATACTTCACTGACTTAATCCAGTTCACACCGTAACAGCTGTTGTCAAGAGATTTGCTAATACAAATGGCGTCTCAACCACCACTATTTCTGTCGTTTTCCAGTTGGCCTCATGAGCCCTGGTATTGGACGAAAACCCTCGTCGGCACTGGATATAACCAATATAGTGCGGTTGACATATTATCATACACTTTTCCTTACTTTCACTCAGGAGTACGTATTAATAATTACACTAACAATTTATGCCGTGTGGGACATAAATACTGAAATTTTGTCGAGTAAACTAACAGCACGTGAATGATAAAAATCAAACAGTAGTCAATAAGTTTATAAGGATTCTCAAATTTTCTTACAATAATATAAGGACTTCTATTCTAAACAGTACTGGTCACTAGTTTAACTGAACAAATTCACGTATGTAATAAAAACTGTATGGAATTTCCAGTCTTAGCCTTTTAATCAGTGCATACGTCATATAAATACTACATCAAATAGTAACATCCCACAAGGTTTCGTTTCACACGGCCATTTATTGGTCAAACGCATAAAGAGTACTTATAAAAAATATTATGGCGTGAACGTCATTTGCATAATGTCTAGTGACAAGTAAATTAATTATAATAATTAAATTGTTATGAGTAATAATCCAATATTATTGTACTTAAAAGATAAAAAAATAACAAAACAAACAATAAAGTTTTCTACCCAATAAGCAATACATATTTTAACCTCCAGGTTATAAGCATCTCCTTTTAGCTAATATGTATTCTTTCACTTATGTTATTTAAAAACATTCAATAGCATTTAGTAAAAACAGTATTACAATAAGCCTTATACCAGAACATACAAGTATATCTAAAATTATTTCATATTATCCCTTTGTTGAGTTTTCTCTAAACACCTACAAAATGTAGGGGTTATGTTTAACTTTGGATTCGTTAGGGCAAAATGGTTCAGTTTACACTCACACTTCACTCATATCTCTTGGGTGACATCTGAAATACTCTATGAATATTGTTGAACCAGTACTTTCCAAACTTTTTATAAATTAACTCGTTAAGCCTAGCGATGTACCTTACAGCTTAGAAGAAGCGATAATAAATATTATGGGGTTAACATCAACTAGGCTTGATGCAAGCGTTTATTAAATTCAAAAACGTTAACTTATCTCAACTTGTTAACATCATCTTAGAATATCTCGAAGTGGTAATGAACCCAGGATTTGCAGTTTGGCAGACCAAGTAAACAACGGTTATATTCCTGTTCGTGGGAGTCTTTATCATGTAAAAAAGTACAAGGAATAATTTTAAACTTAGAACAACACTGATTGACGAGCTTATTATAAAATAAAAGTACACCTAAAATACCTCCAACGTTTTAATACTGATAGAATGTGAGTATTCGTTTAAAGAGAAGTATAAGTTAAGGCCAGTTAATTTAGCAGAGCTTATAATCGATTTAAGATAACAATAAATGTGTTGATTTTTTTACTGATATCTAAAATTACTGACCTTCAGTTGCGTGGAGCTAACAACCAAAAGAAGGTGTTTCCATTGTTGTAGTTGTTTTATAACTTTTTTCTTGTAAAACGTTAAGTAACTCTAAGAGCCTACAAAGTTAAAATCATAGTGGAGTGAATTATAATTAAGGGTTTGGCAAAATGCGCATTTCATATTAATTTTCCTATGCAAATTTGAAACATTTTCTGCTTTTATTACCAGTTTAATATTTAATTGGTTAAGAGCTAATAAGTTAGCTTACAAAAGCAGTGTAAAATCTCCATCCACGTTTATCAGTTATCAGTGGAATAGCCTCTTGTTACAAAAAGTCCTACACATCTAACGTCAATCATCCCACTAGAACTAGTTGTTCGTTTTCTCGCGAACTACATCAACAAAGTGTAGGTGTGAGGCAGCGGGTTTATAAACTCGTGCACTCTGAACGCGCATTCAGAAGCGTCAAAAGAAAGCTTAGAACGAAAACGTATAAATCTACATAGCGTTTAGACAGACAGAGTTAGAAAGTAGGCTGAAAAATCAGTAGGCAGATTAAGAGTAAAGGAAAGTGAACGAATACAACGCGTAAAGTATCTGCTAGCCAAGTGTATGTTAATTATCTCCACAATGCTAAAACTAAATCTTTTTGTTTTAAATTTAGCCTTGCTCTCGATTCCAGCAATGCACGCTGTCCGGCCAGAAGTTCCTCTGTATCATTATACGAACGTTGAAGGTGCGTTAAATCGTCTGTCTTCTCCTTTAAACTAAAATTCTTTCTTTTTTATTTCTTTTATTTGTTAAAAGTTTGGTTACGTGTTTCATTCTAAATGTGGCGTTTCTCATGTTAACACGTGCAAGAAATATTGTTTAAGTAATATACTATTATTTATACATTTTAAAGATATTTTATTAATATAAATCGTCATTGAAACTTTTTGTTTCACATGCACGCGTAACTATTAATAGTAATGCCTTTAAGTTTAATTAAATGTACTTTTAAGTTTTTAATTTTAGGAATGGTATAGATTAGTTGTACTTGTAGCACATATGATAACTGAATAAAAATAAAATACACAATCCAATCTCTACTCACGTTTATGAAATGATTTTTCTAAGTTTAATTTTATCGTATATAAGTTATAGCTTCCATATGTTTTATTTTTACTATTATAATAACTTAATTTTAAACACTACACGAAATTTAACACTGCCAGGTTTATTGATTTATAAGAAAGTAGATCACAAAAGTTGTCTATACATGAGTTGTTACTTGCCTAAATAAGTATCATGAAACCATATTTTCTTTTTAAAAGTTTAGCGGATATATATATATATATAAATGTCTTGTTATTGGATTTTAGCGTTACATTTTGCTGAAATAAATATACAGTTTTCTATGTTTAAAAATACTTACGGAGATTTGAATTGTATAAATCTTATCGAAGGGAATACTTGTATTGTGTAGATCCTGTCGAAGGGAATACTTGTATTGTGTAAATCCTGTCGAAGGAATACTTGTATTGTACTGTAAATCCTGTCGAAGGGAATACTTGTATTGTACTGTAAATCCTGTCGAAGGGAATACTTGTATTGTACTGTAAATCCTGTCGAAGGGAATATTTCTTTGAACGACTGTAATCAATTTCATTTTTTATCGTTTCTGAAAAAAAGTTTCTTTCATTTTATTTTTAAACTTTTATATTATCTGTAGAAGTACATATGTATTATTATTAGCATTAGATATTTAAGTATTTCTTTTAGTGCTTATTATAAGATTTATTATGCTTACAATGCGTAATTATATCAACACCTGGTCCTACTTCCATGAACATATAGAAGTAAGACTCACTTAACTGGTGTTTCGCGCTGATTACTTCAAAGTTCAATATTTGTTAAACGGCAAAAGTTACTCAATTCTAAGAACTTAATAAGACCTTATTAGTCTTAAATTTTGATTTTAAGAAATGCTTACCCTTATATTGCACATCGTATGAGCTAAACCAGGTTTTTCTATACAGATAACAAACAAACGGATTTCACCTATAATAGAAGATTTTTGCTCACCAAACCCTCGCTAGAAATAAACTGGCTCTATCTACAACTACGTGGTGCCGTTATCAAATTCAGGTTGAGGCTATAATGTTTTTTACTGTTTTTCCGTTTTAAAATATTTTTTAGAAAAAAACAACAAACAAAAACTTTGTTCATCTTATTGCTTTTCCACTTGCGGACTTACCCAGAGCTTTAACAATCCACCCCAAAATCAGTTTAAAATCATATCCCATGGTCTAGTAAATTTTGAAATGAATTCGACATTTGACGTGCTAAGTTGTAAAGATACTAAAAGATGGCTCAAAATTATTTTATATTTGGTAATCACGATATTTATTTCGTTTACTGCAGCCATCAAGACCAAACATCACCTAGAACTCGAGCTTCTAATGTCGAGTCCAGGGGGTTAAAAACTAAACATTGACAATTAATACAAGCGTGAATAAACATCAGACTGAGCAGTGTGAATGCCTGCTTTCTTCATACTGCTAAAATATTGTTATTAAACATTCTTTGAGAACAGAATTCAAAAAGAAATAGTTTTATCACTTCTGAGTTTAACGTTTGTGGCACATTTCAGATAATGTCGAAATTAAGTTTTTAATATGACAGATCTAGTTTTTATTATATGTATATGTATATATATATATATAACTCAAAGAATTACTTACATAAGTTAAACTACAATTGTGAATAAACATTGCGTTCTAGTTTAAGGGCCATTGAACATTGAAAAAATGTAGCCTTGTACGTGTACATGCCACGGTACAAGTTAAGAATTTCTTGGTTATTTATTTGGTAGTTTCGTTTGTTTGTTATTAAGCGCAAAGCTCCACAATGGGCTATCTGCCCTCTTGCCCACCGTTGAGGCATCGTGGAATATTCATTAGGCGTTACTGTTTATGCTTTTGTTGACAAAGCAACATTCGAAATTGGCAAAATTTTATTTAATTTTAAATGTATTATTATTGTTTTATGTGTGAGTTTGACGCAGTCTTTATCTTGTACAGCAGGTAAACTAGCTTATAAATCTTATTTTTGAACAAGCTTAGGCATACATGAAAACTTACTTTGCTCAACTTTTCTATTCAGAGTTTATGAACCATAAAGAAATTAACAAGCTCCTGTAAATACGTTGAGTGTTATAGCAACCATAAAGAAATTAACAAGCTCCTGTAAATACGTTGATTGTTATAGAAACAATAAAGAAATTAACAAGCTCCTATAAATACGTTGAGTGTTATAGCAACAATAAAAAACAAGTATTATATAAATATTTTTGTTGAGTGTTATAGCAACAGTAAAAGACAAGCACTAAATAAATACTTTTTGTTGAGTGTTATAGCAACAATAAAAAAAAGTACTATATAAATCCTTTTTATGTTGAGTGTTATAGCAACAGTAAAAAAGTACCATATAAATACTTTTGTTAAGTGTTATGGCAACAATGAGAAACAATAAATTGCAGTTTTAATATTTTTAGTACATTCAATGCTATTCGCGGTCCTTTTTTATCAGTACATTGCAAATTAAGATCTAAAAAAGAAGTAATTATTTATTTTACTTATTACATAAATTGACACACTATTTTTAATAAGATATTACTTTGTCAATACTGTGTGTCATATGGAGCGTATTGTAAACAATGTTATCAGTTTTAAAATACCAGATTCTTCGACCAAGCGCGAACTACCCTAAGGAGACCACCATCGGTGTTTCATCGAACGATGCTCTTCGACCAATCACAAATAAGCTTATTAGCAAACAGCGTCATTACCACACCCCCTAAGTAATAGAGGTCATTTCATTGAGGTCAGAGACAGTCGGGAACGGCCTTCGTGAAATTTATCACACACGACTTTTGTCATCCAAAATTTCATATTTCACGTGTTCGCGATCAAAAGAAGTTAAATCATTGGTGTTAGTCCTGTGTTTCTATCCTGCTTGCAGCATAACTTTAAAACAATAATATTTCTGGCATTTTAATGTGGTTTATAATAAAACAAATTTCTTCCAAGACAACATTTTAATTTTTATCGTTTGTGGTACTTTTATGTGTTTAAACTAGCACTACTAGTGATATACTTATCAACCTTACTAGTAGAACTATTTTTAAACCATCTCTACAAAATAATACCAAAAATAGAATCAAGTGATATATCATAAAACATCATTTAGCAATCTCTTAACGTTATATTATTACGTGCCTTCATGTCTGTGTGCATTAGTACCGAAAACGAGCTTCAACAAAATTGAGTATGCGGATTTGTTGTTGTTGAGGAAACAATTATTTTGTGTGTGTGTGTTGTTGTTTGTTTGTAATTGAGCACAAAGTTACACAAAGGGCTATCTGTGCTCTGCCCACCACGGATATCGAAACCCGGATTCTAGCGTTTTAAGTCCACAGACATACCGCTGTGCCACTGGGGGGCATTTTTTGTATTGGTGATGGTAAATGTTAATGAATATTACCTTGACTAGATTAATAATTTTTATTTTCCAAAAACTGAAACTGAGTCAAACTGGTAAGTTTGTTGTTTTAATTATGCACAAAGCTACACAAGGGCTATCTGTGCTCTGCCCACCACAGGTATCGAAACCCGGTTTCTAGCGTTGTAACAAATAACGTCATTTTTTTGTGTGTAAACTTCAAGCTATTTTTAAGAATAATGATGTTTGCAGTTTAAGGATCAATACTTCCAAAAATTATCTTGTCGAGTGAGTCTTTACTTAAAGTGAGATATTTAAATTTTAGAAATACTGTGTAATGTAACTAAAAAAAAACTATGATGGTATTCAGTTGTTAAGGGCTTAGCGATGGAAGAAAGTTCCATACATTATACATATAAAATTAGTTGGTCGATTCAAACGACCAAAACTCGTAAACAAAACGGAGAAATATTGAACTTGGTAATTATCGTTAACTTCTCATCAAAACAAACTACCTGCATACATTACAACTAAAAATTAACCCAATAATCACTTTAGACAATGGTGGATGTATTAATGAGACAATGAAAAAGACGATTACAGTGTCAAAACAATTGTCATCCCCGGAGCCAACATGCTAACTATGTTTGATATAACCTCCATTCTATTTTGTTTTTGTCAGTTTGCGATAAATTTGGTGTTTTATCTTTATTTTTTTTAGCTACAACATTGTTATTGCCATTTCTGTGTTAATCTTTTACGAGAATAATTTTAACGTTGCGAGCTAACCAGGATGCATTTCTAAAAATAGAATAAAACCTTGCATTTGTTTTTTACTGATTTATACAGTTCCTAGTACGCACTATTCACTATTAACGCCTCCTGGTACAATTGTATTTGACACTGCGAGCACGTGATTGGTGTATCTATAGAATAACATAGATTTTTTTAGTTATATCTATGTTAGAATAGACCAATTTATTTTATGATAATCCTGTAGTATTATATTGATAAAAAGTTTAGACACAAACGACCTTTATACTTCAGATAATTATAAAATAACTTTATATTTCAACCAGTTAAAATAAAAGTTCTATTATAAAATTATCTGGAGTTTAAAGATCGTGTTTTTTTTTTCTAACCATTTTATCAAAATGTGTAAACCCCTCCAGCATGCATTATAAGTTTTGAAAGCTCATATCGTATTGTTGTAACAGGTCTATTGTTAAGCCGGTTCTTTGTGACAATTCG